TCTACCTAGAAAATGTTGAGATTTTCTAGCTTTTGGTGTTTGATCGACTTTGTTTTCTATGGAAAATTATGATTTTTTCCATATACAGAACCAGCCAGGATGGAATTTCAACTCACAAATATCTCCAGGATAAAGCAACCTCCATTACGACGCTTCAGAAGCATATCGTTTATACCAACTGAACTAGATTCTATATCCTGAAGAAATGAGAAATGAAGAGTAAACTCAGAAAAATTAACCAATCAAACCCAGAGCTCAATATCCCCAAAAAAGGAGAGAGAACTCACCAATCTGCATATCAACACAAAATTTACCAAATAAATCAAAAAAAGGAAATCAAAACTCTGACTGCGAAACTGATTAACCTTCCAAAACGGCGAAGGAAGCGACGCAGGGTTCGCCGTGAGAAACGACTGCAGACAGTGGTCGTCGGCTGGGTTCACCTGGAAAACGACAGCAATCGATGCTATGTGAGAGGACGAATCGAATGACGTCCTGCGTCGAGATAAGGTTTGGGGAAAGCTTTGGGTTTGATTTTTTGGGGTTCGATTTTACTGATTTTGGTGGAAAATGTTTTACCAACTCTGAGACGGGAAATATATTTCAAGGATTTCAGGGAAAATAGGTCACGTAAGGGGAAAATGGGAAAAAGTCTTCCAGGTAAAATTTCACACATCAAACATGGTAAACAGTAAATGAAATTTATTTTCCACTTTCCTTGTAAAATATGACTCATCAAACAAGTCTTAGTTTTGAACAAAATATGTAAACTGTAATTATTTTATTGGGGTAAAATTGAAAGAAAATTTAGAAAACATAAAAATTCACCGATTTGGGAGGTTGAGAACCACCAAAAATCAGCATCCAAAAATTTTCTCAACCTTCTTAAAAAGCGTCCCCAAAAAAGGTCAAAACTAGTGAAAAATAAACTCTCAAGCAGGTCCTAAAGGCTTACAATGGCTTTCAAGTTTCTAGCAGCTAAATTCAATAATTCTTTCCCGTCTCTGGATCTTGCGTCCGAGAACGTTATTTCTCATGAAAGGGCCTAGAATGGGATATAAGCTTAGCCCTAATCGTGGATCTCTAGAAATTGGAAAGTGTCCCAAAAATGCCATACATTCTATAGTATGTGAATAAGTTTGATCTCCGTGCACACGCTCCATTCTCAAAAGAGTGTACATCGACCAATTCAGCCATGCCCAGGACACATTTTGTCCTAGCCCAGCCAATGGTGCCCATTTTTATGTACTCAGAAAGGTAGGAAAGAATG